GCCAGGGCTGGGGCCCACTTGACCTGCTGGTAATCTTCAGCTGCTGTGATAGTCCTACCAGCCAACAAGGCCAGATAGGACTCCTTACCCGGGATGTCCACCACCGAGTTCAAGGATGGCCACCGCAAGAAGCACGAAAAACATTGTGGCAGCTGCTTCAATAAGTGAGGCGTGGAACATGGCCCACTCTGACTCAGTTTGAGCATTCACTTTGTTTCTTTTGTATTTTCTGGTGTGTGTAGTAAAATGCATCATGTAAACTTACAAAGCTAATTAAGTTTAGAATGTTTTACTTTAAGTGGGACCACTTAGCAAAAATTAAAGCTGTTAATGACTAAGGCTGCGCTTTTTTGCGCAGGAGACCTTGGCCTCTAAATCCCCCGCTCCCCTGCTGTGAGCCACATAGTGTCTATTATTATGCTAAAGAGGCGCACGCACACCTAGAGACACACCTAACCCTAATCACTGCTCACCTACATGTCCACGCTCAGCCCAACAGTGTGCTCCTACATATCCGGGTCACGGCACCAGAATGTCCGGGTCACGGCACCAAATTTTACAACAACGAAAGATGCTTGTATGTAGATGTTTTTGCAGAGTGTCTGAACCTGGCATTGCGTCATCTTTCAAGGACCAGGCTGGGGATGTGGCTTTTTTCATCATGGCCTTTTCCAGCATAAAACGATGTTGAAATTCCAGTGAAAGGCCAAGTATAAAGTCTCGTCTGCTCTTTTTACAATTTTTTACTGTAGCTCTGAAAATACAGTGGCATCAATGTATGTTCTTTGCAACACACCACATTTTTCAGAGCAAAAACTTGTAAACAAGAGCCCTTGAGAAACAATGTGACAATATCATGAGGCGTGGTGGGCGTGGTGGGTGTGTCTGGATTACCTGCAGGAATTTGTCGAACAAAAGGCCACTAATAGCCCTCAGATTGCTAAGAAGAAGGAGGGGGTTTGTCCTCAGGATCTTGAAATTTCAGTCAAGCTAGTGTTAAAATGTCTGATTCACTGTTGGGCTAATTCTCATGTCTGAATAACATTTTTAAAGTCTCTAAAACAGCTCATATTTAATTAGGTAAAAACTGAAAATGTACAATGACACGTTTTTTTTCTATGTTTCTATTATGCTGAGAAATCGTAGCTGTCATTTTCCAAAATTTTAATGAACCAGTAAGTATTGAATGAATCATAGAATAAATGTCACATATTCTGCTCTCTGACAGCAGGTAAATTGAACATTCACATCATTCATATGTTTGAGGCACAGCAAGAAGGTTAAAACGGTTCCTTTTGAGTATTTAGTACAAAGACTATTGCTAAATAAAATAAAATAATAATGAGAATGTGGTTTTGATTTTCAGCAAAAGTCAAAAAAGGAAGCCAAATCAAATACAGAGGAGCAAAAGAGAAGTGGGAGGAGGAAGTGAATTTCTAACAGCTAAAGTTTTACCTTCTGCCATAGATCTTTTTTCTTATTATTATTTTACCCAAGAAAAGAAAGTCTAAAACTTAAAAGATACACTAAAAGTAAAACAATGGAATTCAAAGTACTGTGAGTAATTTTACAATTTATTATCTTTAGGTCACATAAAATTCTTAGTTAAGAAGTACACTTTACCAATTCAAACACTGTTAAGATAAAATCCCAGGAATTTATGCTTATCCTTGCACCTATTGATAGGATAAAAGTGGAATTCATAAAACTTTCAGTTTCATTGGAAGCAATAAAAAAATGCACTATGTGAATTATTTGTGCAATAAAATCAACCACTTATGTAATGCAGTTAGTCCCAATGTCAAAAGAAAGGTTTAAAAGTAATAAAGAAGAAAGTGAGTGCTTTGTTTTCTTTATTGTAACTAACTAAGGACATGGCCTTGATCCGCATTTTCTGGCTTTCTATGTATTTCAGTTTACTGCAGTGTTTCAGGTGATCAAATAACTTTGTAGTGTTAGCATGTGTTTCTGGGTTGGCGGCAATTGTATTGGTTGGCATGTTGAGTGAGGGTTCAGCCAAAAGGTGGAGGGATGCTGAAGATGCAAAAGATGCTAGAGATGTTAAAGACGGTGATTTAACTTCAAGCAGTATATTGCATGAACTCAGGCTGTTAAGCTCCAAAGTTGATGGGTTAAAAGTCACATTTGAAGAGCAGCTGAATTCTAAGGTGAACAGTATTCGTGATTCCCTGCAAAGTTTGGTCAATGAGTGTAAGGAGTGCGTGAAGGCTGAGTTTTCTCAGAAATGTAAACAACTCCAGGGAAAATGTGGATATGGAGATAAGTTTGTTGATAAGAAGAGTTGAAAAAATGAAGGATAAATTGGACTGGGCCTGTAAAAAGACCAGTATTCAATTTGATCCCTCTGTCAGTGATTATTTCCAGAGTACGCTACACTGAAGAGGAAGATGTTTTGGCCATGGTGAATCATTGAGGGACTACAGTGGGAGCCACCATGAGCCAATGGCAGTTGTGGCAGCGCAGTCGAGAGGACAAAGGATAAAGGAGATCATCTTGCAATGAGGTGTCGTCATGGTCAGCTGGGGTTTGAAATTCTCCAGTCCACCTTGTAAGTCAACATTGTACATCGGAATGTAAATGGATGGACGGATACAAACATGGATCTCAGACAGTTAATACTGAAAAGTTATAATGAGACTCTTTTAACAAAAAAAAAAATAATAATAAGGTCAGGAGGTCAGAATTGATTGAGGTTTTTCGAAACGATTTTTATTACAAGTAAAGAACTGTTAATATTTTCTACAAAATTCTGCTAAAAAATCTGCAATGTTGCTTTAAGTTAGTTCCACTTATCTACTAAATGGTAGTAAAGGCAGGAAATTATCAAAACTCTCCAAGTGGAGCCACAGACCTTAGACTGTGTAAGTAAAAAAAACTTTAGCTTTTAAATGTCTTAATAATACAAATAAAATTATATTTGAAGAATTTATTTTTACTTCTATACTATTTACTAAACTTTTTATTCAAGTTTCAATGCTGGTAAATTATATGAGGTGTACAAAAATTACACAATTTAAAAACATGCAGAACAAGAAGCAACATTTTTCCATCTAGAGTTTTTTTTTTAAGATTTCTCTCTTCCATTAGGACATAATGAAGACATCTATGTGGGTTGCTGCAGTCTTTGGAAGCTATTAGAACTTAATCATAGTGGTAGTGATGCACCTAAAATTGTAAATGGTTTCTTCAAATGAAAATGGAAGAAAAAAAATGAAGGAAATGTTCCTACAGGAGGAGCTGCAAATTGAAACTTTTTTTTTCTTACTGACTAAATCAGAAAATAAATGATAGCTGGTGGGTTTTCTGAAACCTTTTAGTTAAGGAAAAGTTTTTGAACGTAACAATATCAACTTTAAGGGCGACTGTCTTTGTTGAGAGCAAACTGAATTAAAACATTATACAAGGTTTTTATTCTTCTCCTGAAATGTCTTTCAAATATTTGTTCAACTTGAAAGATTGATTTAGTTTTTACATTACAATTGGGCCTCATGCAAGAACCGTTCGTACGCACAGATTTGTTCTTAAGTTGTGCGTACGAGTGGTTTAGGAGAATTTGTGGCATTCACCAACGTTTTCGTATTCTAAGATTTTTTTCAGATACAAACAAAATTCACGAGTGGTCCAGATCTGTCGTATATTTTACCAGCAGTCAGTCTGCTGTTATCCAGAC